AAAAATAATTATCAAACAACTCCCCCACCACCCCCATCTCTATTCGCCCCGTGAATTTTCCGCAACGCACCACAGATCCTTAGCCACATATCACGACCTGGCATGCCTCCGTGGTGGCGGTGGGGGTGGTTGCTGTTGTTGTTGATATCGTTACCCCATCCAAGAAATGTCCAAGCTCATCCCCGCTCGGCTTCTGAGACGTGACCGACTGATTTCCATTCACTCGTTCATCCACAGAATGCTCCAGTGACTCAGCGCACCGATACCGCATTCATTACCTCCAATAGCAGTTTTGTGCTTGTTTAATTATATTATCAAACCCGATGGCTGATTGCCGCTAATTGATGTGCAATGCAATTAAGACCTCAACTCGTCCATTAGTCTAATCAGTGCTTTGAGTTAATGAGACGTCGTCGTGTGCCGTCTTGGCTCGGTAATTTTGTTTCGCGAACGTTCACCGTATTCTCCGCAATTATACGAACCACTGCGCCCTCGACTTTCACATTTTAAAATACGCGGTGGAGGGAGTGGTGGTGGGGGTTATAATCCAGAATACGGTCTAATTATTGTAATCCCAGCTGCTAAGCAGAGAGGGAGAGAGACCCCCACTGTGTTTGACAACCAAGATGAAGCAAGGTTTGTACAATCCACGTGCGCGCAAACCTTTTGTCAACACCACTGCTGGATGACGGCCTATCTCCACGGACTGCAGGTGACCTTGGGGGGTTATTTGACCACACCTCATCGCAATGGTCAGCGCGGGTTGGTGGTAGCGGGGAGCATGGACGTAGTAGCATACAAATACAGTACAACACGTTGAATTTCGCTTGCACGTGACATTCTAACTGCCCTCTTTCCACAACAGACGGAGTTCACCACTGAGTGGCAGTGGCGTCACCACGGCGCTTGTGCCAGGCTAGGTGCACTTCGAGAGGGCCACGTGAAGTGTCGTGAAGGTTCGCTTGTCACGGGACAGACCCACACACACACAGTGGGACAGACACACAGTGGGACAGACCCACACACACAGTGGGACAGACACACAGTGGGACAGACCCACACACACAGTGGGACAGACACACAGTGGGACAGACACACACAGTGGGACAGACACACAGTGGGACAGACCCACACACACAGTGGGACAGACACACAGTGGGACAGACCCACACACACAGTGGGACAGACACACAGTGGGACAGACACACACACACACAGTGGGACAGACACACACAGTGGGACAGACACACACACACACAGTGGGACAGACACACACAGTGGGACAGACACACACACACAGTGGGACAGACACACACAGTGGGACAGACACACACAGTGGGACAGACACACACAGTGGGACAGACACACACAGTGGGACAGACCCACACACACAGAGAGTGGGACAGACACACACAGTGGGACAGACACACACACACACAGTGGGACAGACACACACAGTGGGACAGACACCCACACACACAGTGGGACAGACACACACACACACAGTGGGACAGACACACACAGTGGGACAGACCCACACACACAGAGAGTGGGACAGACACACACACAGAGTGGGACAGACACACACAGTGGGACAGACCCACACACACAGTGGGACAGACACACACAGTGGGACAGACCCACACACACAGTGGGACAGACACACACAGTGGGACAGACACACACACACACAGTGGGACAGACACACACAGTGGGACAGACACACACACACACAGTGGGACAGACACACACACACACAGTGGGACAGACACACACACACACAGTGGGACAGACACACACAGTGGGACAGACCCACACACACAGAGAGTGGGACAGACACACACACAGAGTGGGACAGACACACACAGTGGGACAGACCCACACACACAGAGAGTGGGACAGACACACACACAGAGTGGGACAGACACACACAGTGGGACAGACACACACAGTGGGACAGACACACACAGTGGGACAGACACACACAGTGGGACAGACACACACAGTGGGACAGACACACACAGTGGGACAGACCCACACACACAGAGAGTGGGACAGACACACACAGTGGGACAGACACACACACACACAGTGGGACAGACACACACAGTGGGACAGACACACACACACACAGTGGGACAGACACACACAGTGGGACAGACACACACACACACAGTGGGACAGACACACACAGTGGGACAGACCCACACACACAGTGGGACAGACACACACAGTGGGACAGACACACACACACACAGTGGGACAGACACACACAGTGGGACAGACCCACACACACAGAGAGTGGGACAGACACACACACAGAGTGGGACAGACCCGCACACACACACACAGTAGGATAGACCCACACACACACACATTGGGACAGACACACACAGTGGGACAGACACACACACACACAGTGGGACAGACACACACAGTGGGACAGACACACACACACACAGTGGGACAGACACACACAGTGGGACAGACCCACACACACAGTGGGACAGACACACACAGTGGGACAGACACACACACACACAGTGGGACAGACACACACAGTGGGACAGACCCACACACACAGAGAGTGGGACAGACACACACACAGAGTGGGACAGACCCGCACACACACACACAGTAGGATAGACCCACACACACACACATTGGGACAGACACACACACACACAGTGGGACAAACCCACACACACACACACACAGTGGGACCAGACCCACACACACACACAGTGGTTGACCTGACCCTAAAACCTAAATAAAAACATTGCCAACGCTATCCCACCCCATGCTCAGCACTGTAACGCCATGCCAAATGTCTAGCACTAACTCACCCCACGCCGAGTGTTAAGTCACCCAATGTCTAGCACTAACTCACCCCACGCCTAGCGTTAATTCACCCAATGTCTAGTAATGTCCTGCACGTTTCGCCAGTGATGACACCGGGCATCATCAGGCGGCAGCCAGATGAAATCTGAGGCCGGCGGCGTATCACGGTTCGGTTCCGGTTCCGGCACGGCTAACACCCCCAGTGGAGCAACGACAACAAAACCCCACCCCGTGCCGTAAGGGAACCGTGCTGGCTCGGATGTAGGCAGTGGAAAAAAAAGGTGTGTTCGCGTCTTTCTAAACTAAACGACTAAACTCATTTTTTACCAGGTAAGGATCACTGAGTCACCCAGCGCCTAGCGGTGAACCACCCAGAGTCTAGACCTGACTTAGCTCATCACTGAGTCACCCACCACCCAGAGTCTAGACCTGACTTAGCTTATCACTGAGTCACCCACCACCCAGAGTCAAGACCTGACTTAGCTTATCACTGAGTCACCCAGCACCCAGAGTCTAGACCTGGACTTAGCCTATCACTGAGTCACCCAGCTCCTAGCGGTAAACCACCCCGAGTCTAGACCTGACTTAGCTTATCACTGAGTCACCCACCACCCAGAGTCTAGACCTGGACTTAGCTTATCACTGAGTCACCCAGCGCCGAGCGGTAAACCACCCAGAGTCTAGACCTGACTTAGCTTATCACTGAGTCACCCAGCACCTAGCGGTAAACCACCCAGAGTCTAGACCTGACTTAGCGTATCACTGAGTCACCCACCACCCAGAGTCTAGACCTGGACTTTGCTTATCACTGAGTCACCCACCACCCAGAGTCTAGACCTGACTTAGCTTATCACTGAGTCACCCACCACCCAGAGTCTAGACCTGACTTAGCTTATCACTGAGTCACCCAGCGCCTAGCGGTGAGCCACCCAGAGTCTAGACCTGACTTAGCTTATCACTGAGTCACCCACCACCCAGAGTCTAGACCTGACTTAGCTTATCACTGAGTCACCCACCGCCTAGCGGTGAAACACCCAGAGTCTAGACCTGACTTAGCTTATCACTGAGTCACCCAGCGCCTAGTGGTGAAACACCCAGAGTCTAGACCTGACTTAGCTTATCACTGAGTCACCCAGCGCCTAGCGGTGAGCCACCCAGAGTCTAGACCTGACTTAGCTTATCACTGAGTCACCCACCACCCAGAGTCTAGACCTGACTTAGCTTATCACTGAGTCACCCAGCGCCTAGCGGTGAAACACCCAGAGTCTAGACCTGACTTAGCTTATCACTGAGTCACCCAGCGCCTAGTGGTGAAACACCCAGAGTCTAGACCTGACTTAGCTTATCACTGAGTCACCCAGCGCCTAGCGGTGAGCCACCCAGAGTCTAGACCTGACTTAGCTTATCACTGAGTCACCCAGCGCCTAGCGGTAAACCACCCAGAGCCTAGACCTGGACTTAGCCTATCACCGAGTCACCCACCACCCAGAGTCTAGACCTGACTTAGCCTATCACCGAGTCACCCAGCGTCTAGCGGTGAACCACCCAGAGTCTAGGACTCGACTAATTCGCCCTCCGCGCCCCCCGCCCCCCGCTCCCCCACCCGCCCGCCCGCCCCCCGCGGCACCGGGACTCAGGGCACTCCGCACTTGCCGCTCTTCTCCCTGCGGTGGAAGCGGCGGAGGCGGCGTGCCCACGCGTCGCGCCACTGCACAATCACGCTGGCGCGGTCGGCCACCAGCGGGCCCTGCTGCTGCTGCTGCTGGGTGCGAAGGGGACCCTGCGAAGACCCCTGCGAGGGAGCCTCGGCAGGGGGGCCCGAGCCCCCCCCCGCCGGTGACGAGGTACTGAGCAGCAGCAGGTAGGAGCGGCCCACTCGCAGCTTCTGGCAGCGGCACGCCAGGTCCCTGCTGCGGACCCACAGCCACTGCTGCGGATGCTGCTGCTGCTGCTGCTGCTGTTGCTGCTGCTGTTGCTGCTGCTGCTGGTGACGCCGCTTGCCCTGTTTCTTGCCGCGCGCGCGCCGCCGGTTGTTGCCGTTGCCGCCGCCGTTCCCGCCGCCGTTGCCGCCACGAAGCCGCAACGTCGCCGCGTCGTGGGGGGCCGGTTGGGGCGGCGCCGGGGGGGCGGCCGCGGGGGGCCCCACGCCCGAAGGCCCCCCGCCCCACTTGAAGACGGAGCGGATCTCGGCGGTGAAGCGCGTCCACTCGCGCACCGCCGAGCGGCTCACCAGGTGGAGGTGAAGCGCTGCGCAGGTGGGGGGGGGGGGGGGGGGTGGCAGGGGGAGGGTGCAGGGGGGGGGGTGCAGGGGGGGGGGTGCAGGGGGGGGGCGTTAGAATCGTCGTGGTGGAGGTGGCTCGTCAGAGGCTGCCGAGTTCGAAGCCGGGCGCCAGACGCCGGTGACGTGGGCTACACGAGTCGCTGACGCACGGGTGGGCAGTCACCCGCTTGTCACTCTTCTCGCGCGACTGCTGTGGTTGCAGTGCCCGTGAGGGTCGCACGTTCATTCAGAAATCCAGACTCACCGTGTCGTCTCATCCACGCTGTGTGCAACCACCACCACACTGCAGGTCACCCACCCACTCACTCACCCACGTACTCACCCACCCACTCACCCACCCACTCACCCACCCACTCACCCACTCACCCACACACTGACCCACCCACCCACTCACCTACCGACCCACTCACCCACCTTCTCACCCACCCACTCACTCACACACTTACTCACTCACCCACCCACTCATCCACACTCATCCACCCATTCATCCAAACGGCAGGTGTTCAACCACCACACTGCAGGTCACCCACCCACTCACCCACCCATTCAACCACTCACCCACTCACCCACCCACTCACCCACCCACTCACCCACCCACTCACCCACCCACTCACCCACTCACCCATCCACTCGCTTAAAGATCCTGCGATGCAATGCGCAAACAGAGTCGGCCACGCGTGTTCCAAATCTGCCAAATTGCTACCAACGGTACCACCCCGTGGGGGCGGGGAGTGAGGGGGTGGGGGGGGGGGGGCAAAGCTGCCGAGCGCGCAGGCGGTGCAACTGCACCGGGGCCCGAAGGGGCGGGGGGGCGGGGTTGTGAGGAGTGGGGGAATCTGGTGGCAGAGAAAATTGGACAGGGGACCGCCTCGACGATTATCACTGCCGGCATCGGTGCAGTTGCACCAGTTGCACCAGTTGCACCAGTTGCACCAGTTGCACCAGTTGCACCAGTTGCACCAGTTGCACCAGTTGCACCAGTTGCACCAGTTGCACCAGTTGCACCAGTTGCACCAGTTGCACCAGTTGCACCAGTGACGCCGGCGCTCACCGTAGTCCTTCTTGCAGTATTTCTGCAGCGTGATCTTCACTTTGCCCTTCGATGGCTTGCAGTAGACGTCACAGTCTAAGGGACACACACGGGAAGACACGCGGACTGAGCGCGCTGCTGCGTACACATGGCCGCCACGAGGGAGACAAAGGCGGCCGGGCGGGCCACCCACGCCGGCCCTTCGGAAGGGGCTCGCTAACAGCACTTGCCACAAAAGTTGGTTCAGGCTATACGGGCTGGGGGGGGGGGAATCTTTGTCTATGTGCAACCTTTACAATGACATACCACACACACACACAGCCACACACACACACACGTGCGCGCGTGTGTGTGTGTGTGGCTGTGTCGCACCCTCACAATGGCACACACCCCACACACTACGCACAAAGGGTTCCCTTCAGCTTTTTGCTGTCGGCTGAATAGCGGCCGCTGCCTATAAATCACGCGCCGTCTTCCTCTGCCTTTTTTTTACAGCCCCCTCCTCCTCCTCCCCTCCTACTCCTCCTCCCCTCTTCCTCTGTCCGTCCGTCCGATGCCGGGAGAGCGTCGCTCATCTCCCACCCACCCACCCACCTCCCCTCCCTCCCCTCCCCTCCCTCTCCATTCCTCGTCCCTCAATCTACATACAGTTCACACACATATAAACACATCGTCTGTGCGTGTGTGGCGGCAGTTGTACGGACGGGCGCGGAGGAGGAGTAGGCAAAGAGCGAGAGAGAGCTGGGAGGACGTGGTGGTGGTGGGGAGTTGGTGGGGGGGAGTTGGTGAGGGTGGTGGGGGGTGGGGGAGGTGGGGGGTGGGATGACGATCGCTCCACGTGGACAATGGGACACATTTTATCCGGGACACAATGTCCGGCCACAGAAAGCACCAACAACGAACCGTGGACTCGGGTACCTCTGCTGCCTCGCAGCAACGCCGCTCCAGCCTACCCCCATGCACACCCCCCCCTTCTCCCCCACCCCCACACTGCTCCCTCCCTCCCACAAAACAAAACCTGACATCAACCCAAAGTCTAATTATTTGCAGACGCTGACAGATCACTAATTGAGCCAATCGCCCCCCTTTCAGAGGTCCGCTCACGCCTCTCCGCACGCTACGTGGCCTCTCTCGCCTGATTTCTGCCCCCCACCTCCAACCCCCTCCCCCCCCCCCTGTAATTCATAAAACTGTTAAAGGTGCAGCCCTGAAAGTGACTACTCCATGATGGGCACTTGCGAGCTTGATAGGGCGTCCGCTGGTCGGGGCTCATGGAATTGAATTGCCTCTTCCACGCGCGCGCCCAAGACGTCTTGCAAGAGGTGGACAGTCACCCGCATGTTTACCCCTCGCGACCTGCCCGGTTGATTTTACGCAACACGTAATTTTGTTTTTTGCTACTGCTATTCTGCTCCTGTTGCTGCTGCTGCTGCTGATGATGACGCTGATGACGATGATGCTGCTGCTGCTGCTAATGATCGTGATGATTGAGAATTAAAAAACCAAAACTTAGTACGCCTTTTGGCGTCATCTGGTCCAACACCAATAGAGACTAGGCTCTAAGAAAAGCTGTCTCGGGTGTGGACCAATCAACTTCAAGGACAGTGCATATCATTATCATCATCAGCGTTGTTTTCTTTTTGTTTGCATTTTGACTGCTTGTGTTGTGGTTATTGCAAACATGATGCCTTGTATAAAGGTGTCAGTTTTTGTACCAGTTGAAAGGGTAAAAACCTATTACTAAACAAAAATTTCCCACACATTTGCAAGCAGGATCGATCATCCCGAACAGGCGTTCGTTGAGGCTTTGCTGGAAATCTCGGCGTTGTATGCACGCGTGGTGAACTTCTTTCGCACCGTACGTAGCCACCCGTGCTAATCGGAGGTGCAGGGGTATACACCCTTTCACAGCCGCGGGGGGCAGTCAGCGTCTATGAATAAAAGGTCATTTCCGGACAGATTTGGCCGGCACGCTACGTGACTTACACGGCCTATTTGTCTACGGTCTGAACGTCTTATGGACAGACAACTCTCATGAACAACAACGAACAAGCACGTGACCCTTTCGTCAATGGTAAACAGTGTGCGGACCCTGTTTAAAGATAACCGTGACCTTTAAACAAGGAAGAAAAACCACACGCGCGCACAGCTTCTGTCGCGTGTTCTTCCGAACACGGTGGCTAGGAGATGTTAACTACCTCGCCTGGTATACAGGAGGTCGTAGGGTTCGATCCCGACCCTGACGCCTGCTGCTGTATATTTGGAGTTTGCGTCTCTCTCTCATAATCATCACGGTGACTAGGAGATGTTAACTACCTCGCCTGGTATACAGGAGGTCGTGGGTTCCATCTCGACCCTGACGCCTGCTGCTGTATATTTGGAGTTTGCGCGTCTCTCTCTCAATCATCATCACGGTGGCTAGGAGATGTTGACTTCGTCGCCTGGTATACAGGAGGTCGTGGGTTCGATCTCGACCCTGACGCCTGCTGCTGCTGTATATTTGGAGTTTGCGCGTCTCTCTTCCCGTGGTCGCGTCGATTTTTCTCCGCGTCTTCCGGTTTTTCCCCTCCACGTTGATTCTCCTCTTTCGGATTTATTTTCGCCCTTAGAATGGACGGCCACGCGTTTCGAGCATTTGGCTGCTCCACATTGCCACGTGGTAAGCCCACTTCGTCGAGTTAGCATGTTTGATAGTCAAGCTCGCTTCTGTAAAACAGCTGCGTAGCTCAGAGGGGCCTTACACCTGGTCGAATTGAGAAAAAAGTCTAGTTTACTTTAGTAATTGTTTGGTAGTTTAGGTAGTTACATTCTAGATTTGAAGCTTTCGTGACTGCAAGGATTCATACTCTTAGGTTTTTTCGGTAAAGTCACGTAGATAAAAAATAAAATTAAAAGTTAATAATGGAAATGAAATAAAATAATCACGACGTTTCGGAGGCAACAAGTCTCCCTCATCAGGTGGGACCGTAGTAATTTTAGCTGTGACGGTCCCACCTGATGACGGAGACTTGTGTTGCCTCCGAAACGTCGTGATTTATTATTTTATGTTATTTCCATTATTAACTTTTAATTTATTTTTTACCTACGTGACTTTACCGAAACAACCTAAGAGTAGGTAGTTACAGGTTGAGCGGTAGGCAAGCCGACCGGCACTTGGCTGTCGGGGCAAAGCAGAGCGGCGGGCGCGGCGTCGTTTCGCCGATGCGAAGCTTCGCCGTTCGATATTCCAGCCGCCCCCCCCCCCCCCCCCCCCCGGTCACCGCCGCTTGCCGTGACGACCACGGCAAACGCCACGCGCCGCCTGCGTCACAGTGGCCGTTCAAGATTCCCCCTGACGTCACCAGCAGCAGTAGGCCCGCTGCGTGCCGGCGGCGGGAGTCAGGCTCCAATTGGGATTACACGCAGCAGTCAGCAGCAGTCAGCAGCAGTCAGCAGGAGCAGCAGCAACAGGAGCAGCAGCAGGAGCAGCAGCAGCATCAGGAGCAGCAGCAGCATCAGGAGCAGCAGCAGGAGCAGCAGCAGCAGGAGGAGCAACATCAGGAGCAGCAGCAAGAGCAGCAGCAGCAGGAGCAGCAGCAGGAGCAGCAGCAGGAGCAGCAGCAGGAGCAGCAGCAGGATCAGCAACATCAGGAGCAGCAACAGCAGGAGCAGCAGCAGCATCAGGAGCAGCAGCAGGAGCAGCAGCAGGAGCAGGAGCAGCAGCAACATCAAGAGCAGCAGCAGGAGCAGTAGCAGCAGCAGCAGCAGCAGGAGCAGCAGCAGCAACAGGAGCAGCAGCAACAGCAGGAGCAGCAGCAGCAACAGGAGCAGCAGCAGTAGGAGCAGCAGCAGCAGCAGGAGCAGCAGCATCAGCAACAGGAGCAGCAGCATCAGGAGCAGCAGCAGTAGCAGCAGCAGCAACAGGAGCAGCAGCAGCAGCATCAGTAGCAGCAGCAGGAGCAGTAATTAATTGCTGCCGACTAGCAGACTAATGCCCGTTTACAGGCCAGGTGCCGAGTCGACTTGTACCACACAGGGACAGCTGTCACTGGGGGTGCCCTAGGCTAGACCACCGCACACGTCAACATTGAACGCCTAGTGGCAGACTAATGCCCGGAGAATGAATGAATGAACGGGTGACTGAGCGAGTGCGCGAACGAGCGTGGGGGGGATTGTTCATCGCTCAGCCGCGTTTTCTTCACCGGAGCTGCGAGCTCCTTCGTTCCTCTCGCTCTCCCGTAGTCCTCGGTTCTTTTTTTAAATCCTTTATATTAAGTTCGCTTGCTTGCTTGCTTAGGACCGTGCAAATCTTTCGGTCGTTTTTTAACCCACTTCCCGTGATCCAATCGAGCTGACATTTTGCACACAAACTCGTTGTTGCTTGACAATGCATTTTCGTGAAAAAACATTTCCAAAAATTTACACTGATTAGGGTAAAATTGTAATATTTAATTACCAATTGTTTAATGCTGCCAGACAATCATCTGACCCATAGGTGGCAGCCATCTCAAGCCAGAGGACGAGAGGACTCTAGCCGCCCCGATGCCACGCATATGAAGGATTTATAGTGAAAAACTTTGTTTTTACGGGTTAATTTTTCTTCTAATCGCACGCATTGGAACGTGCGACGAAGCGTCGGCCGAGAATCGTGAAATTCCTGGACGGGTGGCCAAACGCGCGTCCACAGCTCTGCAACTTTGGTAAGTGCGTGGCGCGTGCATGCGGCTGGGTTGCGTGCGCGCGTGTGTGTGTGTGTCCGTGTGTGTGTCCGTGTGTGTGGGGAGCGGTGGTGTAGCGGTTAGCGCGCTGCGCTATGAACCTGGCGACCCGGGTTCGATTCCCGCTCACGGACAACACCCAGTGACAATTATCTGAACCGGTCCCGGGCCTCCCCTAGGTCGACTCAGCCTCAAATGAGTAACCTGGTGCGGTGTGTAAACATCGCCACCAGGGAGACAAAGGCGGTCGAGCGTGGTGCTGGCCACGCACCCCCTCGTTCGTGTACCGTTCCGGCCTTCATAAGTGCTCGCTAACAGCACTTGCCCCTACAGTCTGTTAAGGCTATACGGCGGATCTTTGTCTTTGTGTGTAGGTGGTGTAGTGTGTGTGTGTGGGGA